TCCCCAAGCCCCGCGTGGTCACTGCCTGGGGCAGCCCAGGGCCTGGGCAGACTCTCATTGCTCTGGTAAACAGCAAATTTCATAAAAATCCCAAGCAGCAGCTTGATAATTAACAAAGCAAAAACTTGCAACTTGAAGATAAAACAGTTTCTGCCAAAACATTTTGGTTTCATGTATGTTTTGCAGGGAGAGGTCAAAAGATCTTCTGTAGCAAAATTCTGCTGGATTTCAAAAGTTCCTTTTTTTAAAAAAAAAATCTTAAAATTAACCTGTATTTTTTTACAGATTGAGCTGGCCAAAACAGAATAAAAACCGTCTAAATCCAAAATCTGGGTCCTGACTCAGCCTGGGGATCAGTGCCCTCAGCCAACAGCCTGGAGCCAGGCCTGGCATCCCTGATGCTCCCTGGCATCCCTGCTGTCCCCCAGCTGCTGCAGAGGGGGCAGAGGTCCCAAGGAGGCCCCAATTCCTTTTCCTGTCAGGACTTTTGTTTTTTTGGGAAGTGGCCTCGGAGGTGCGGAAAAGATATAAAAATCTGGGATGTGCATTTTAAGGAAACCAGGCTGCTCACAGCTAAAAATAGCTGTGATTTCCCCTCTCTGCTTTATTGCCACGAGGGCACGTGTGATTATTCCTGATTTTGTTGTTGTGTTTTGGCTGCACCTGAAGGCTGGAGCGAGTGGCAGCCCTGGGGAAGCCTCACACGTCCCTGGGCCCAGCTTGGCTGCCACAAAGTTCCCTAAAGGTTGCTCAAGGGAACACCCCAGCCCTCCTGCCCCTGGTGGGTGCAACTCAGAGATAACCAAGGCCAGGCACAGCACCCTGGGGATGGGGAGGCTCTGGCAGCAGAATTGGGGTGCTCAGGAGTGGGCACAGCACAGGAGCCACAGGGGAGCAGCAGAACTCACCAGGGTTCAGATGAAGGGCAGTGCAAGGACAGAGGGAAATGAGGCAAGGGCACAGGGCACGGGGAGGAAGAGCAGCTCTGTGTGCTGGTGGCACTCACAGGGTGCCAGGTGAACACCAGGAGGATTTTCTCTGCTCCCCAGTGGCTCCAGTCCCACCTGACATCAAACCCCAGCAGTTTGCTTTGCTGAGCAAAGCTGGGATCTGACAGGGATCTGGGAACAGATCCCTGCAGGGGAACATGTCAGAGGGAGCCTCTCCCCTGCAGCACACAGACTCAGCATCAGCCAGGCCACCTCTGGAAAGGATGAGGAAAAAGCAACAACCCAAATTGAATCTGTCCCACGAGAACAGCAGGAAGGAGCTGCACTCCTGCCTTCCTCATGTCAGAGCCAAGGGAGCAGCAGCTCCTGTGGGACACTGGCAGGAGCAGAGGCAGGTCAGGGCAGCACCATTAACAGATCCTGATCCCATTAACTGATTGGAAATCCACAGGAGCATCCTCTGGCTGCAGGGAGGCAGCAAGGGCTCAAAGATGTGCAGAAAGGGAGAGGATGTGGCTGGGATTCCAGTTCATAGCAAAGCTTCCCTGGAACATCAGCCCTGCACATCTGCAAGGGGTGAAGCTGAAGATGGGAGAGAACCAAACCCAGGACAAGCAGCAGATCAGCTCAGATTCCAGGGATCTGGGGATGATTTTCCCAGGGCAGGTCCCAGCTGGGGTTTGCCAGGCAGCAGCACCTCATTCACTGTCCTGCAGCAGGTACCCATGCACAGGGGCACACACTGGGCTGCTACTCAGTGCTTCACCCTCCTTTGGCTCTCTAAATACAGATTCTCTTCTCCCTCCCTAATTCCTGACACGTTTGTTCCAGGCATCCGTCCCTACCTACAATTCTTCTCCATGCCAAAGGATTTGGGTTAATGCAAATAAAAGGAAACTGTTTTATTCCACCTACAAATCTTCTTTGGCTCCCAGCTACGGGACTGTGGGGTGAAATCCAGCCCTGGAGGAAGCCAGAGAGCAAAAAAAGCCTCTGTGCCAAGTGCTGTGTGCAGGATGGATTTGCTGCTGCTGAGAGATGCTGGATTCCCTGGCTGGGATGTTCTGCTTGGGGGAAGTGCTGGGATGGAGCTGGGCACAGGATGGGCACTCAGTGGTGGCAGCCGCCAGGAGGGGGCAGGAAAAGGGGACAAGGACAAGGAGCTGCATCCTGGGATGGCCGAGGGAAGGGCTGGGAGCTGCAGCTGCACAGAATGGGCAGCATGGGTGGGGGCTTCTCCACAAACAGAAAATTCATCAAAAGCAAACAAGCGAAATATGAGTTTCGAGGGACACAAAGAATTCATGGCTTTGGGTCAAATTCAGCAAATATTTTTAGCCAGAAGAGGGAGGGCTCTAAACCACCATTTTTAAAATAAGATTTTTTTTGTTCTGTAGTTCTCCAGATGAGAAGTTGTCAGTTCCTTCCCCAGTGAGGAGGTCCTGACCTCAAAGAGCAGCACAGCCACATCGGAAGGGTTGGGCAACTGAGCCCAAAATCTGCCAGGTTGGTCAGGATCACTTTGCTTCACTAAAACCTCCCAACATCCCTGTTCCAGTTTCACTGAAACAATTTTCCTCTTCCCCATGGGATTTCTTGGTTCAGCCACAGAGCTGAAAAATCCATTATTAGCCTGGCTGTAATGCAAAGTTCTGCTGTGCACCCCAGCCCACAGGCCTGCCCAGCCTCTCAAGCAGCTCTGAAAGGGTATTAAATAATGTGGCACAGCCCATCCTTAATGTCCCTGCTGAGCTTTCCACAGGGAGCTGATGGAGCACTGGATGTGACAAGGACACACACTCATCTGCTCTGCAACAACCACATTATTTATGGTAATCGCTGGGCAGGGCTGGGCACAAATAATTTTCTTAAACATTTAATACTTCATGGCCTGGTATCAGCCTCTGCACTGGCCTCCAGAACTGCTGTTTAAATGAGAAAAGCTTTTCCTACAGTCTCCATTCCTAGAAATTGATGATCAGCTTCCCATTCCCACAGCACAGCCCAGAAATGGCACATGCTCCTGCCCAGAGAGGGTGGTGGAAGAGGTTCCTCCCCCTCCCTGCCAGCAGCACTGTGGAATAATGATGCTGAAAACTCCAACCAAGCCTTGCTGGGAAAGCCCTGCTGCAGTCCAGAAGGGTTTTGCCTGTGTAGATTTATAACCTCCTCTGTCCCCTTTTGATCTTGGTGTACAACTAATAAAAGCCTTTCAGTATCAGTCCCTAAATCTCCTGTCCATTGTCCTGCTCCTCACAGGGAGAGCCCCCTCCTTTGGAAGGGGTTTTTTGCTTGCTGCTCCCTCCTGAGAGCACTGAAAGAGGCCTCAATGCCAAGATGGAGTTAAATCCAAATTTCACACTTTAGCCAGCCCAGGATGGGACTCCTCGGTCTCCACTTGTGTCCAGCCTGAAAGGACTCATAGGAATAAAGATATTTGTGCAAAAGGAATAAAAGGTTTGGCGAGACATGGGGGGAGGAAAGCGAAGCTGGGAAAGAATCCCGAAGCAAGGCAAAACTGCCCTGGGATGAACTGCCCTGATGGAGAGTGGAGCAAACCGCTCAAGAGCAGGACTGGGGGAAAAGGAGTGCAGGAAATATTGGCAGGCTCGGCAGCTGGCAAAGGCACTTCCCTCTGCGAGCACAGAACGATCCCTCAGGGCATTTCTGATCCTCTGCCTCCCCCGGCTCCAGCAGAGCACAGACCCCTCACCAGCTCCCTCAGCTGCAGAAAGTGCTTGTGGAACAAAAACAGAGTTATTGCCTGACAGCTTGTGGCCAGGGGTGTGATTAAACTGAAACTCAAGAATCTGACCTGCTTCTGTAGCTGCTGCTGCCCCAGCAGCCCGGGGAAACCCCGAGCGAGCGATGGAAAAGACACGGCAGCGTTTTCCGGGGCCGGGGTGGCTCTGTGAGCCCGGCTGGGGGCTGGCAGGGTCAGAAACAGGGTCAGGGGTGCTGGAAACAACCTGTCCCCGTCCCTGTGTGCTGCAGGTCCGCTCCCGCTTGCGCGACATCCCCCGGGATTTCCGTGCGCCGCGCTCGCATGACACACAGACACACGGACACACAGACACACGGACACACAGACACACGGACACACAGACACACGGACACACAGCCTCGCCTCTCCTCCTCGGCCCGATGACTAATTCATATTTGCTCAACCTCTGCGAGGTGTCAGATGCAAGGTGCCAGAACAGGGTGAAAGGGTTTCTCTCTTTTGAAGCCGTTTCAGGGTGACTTCATTGCCGTGCACGGGGACGAGCGGAGGCCGGGGAAGCTGCGGCTTTGCGGGGTTCAGCTGAGGTCCCTGTTCCACATCTGCCCTCCTTCCCCACAGCCCCTGGAGCTGTCCTGCACTCCCGGGGGCTCCATCCATGTCCTGTTCCCAGGGAAGGACAACCGAGACACGGAGGAGACCGAGAGGAACAAACTCAGGCGGTTCACAGTGCAAACCCGGGGTTTGGTGCACTTCAGCTTAAGGAAGCTGCTGCACCAGCCCACTGGAGAGGCGCCTGTAACTTCTATTCCACACATTTCCCCCCATTTTAATTCAATTCCCATGAATTAGAAGGAAAACAATTCATGTCTTGGAATCTGAACTGTAAAACTGTAAATCTGTGTGAACCTTTCTGCTCCCCTTTTCTCCTTTCACAGTAGGAAATAGTAGAAAGAGTGGCTGCTCCTCTATTTAATCACCTGGGAGATGCCTGGGCACCGCAATAAAGGGGCTGTATAAATAAATACCTGCACAGATGAGCCACAACATCCCAAACACAGCCTTACACCGCTGCGGGCCCGCCCGGAAACCTCTGACCCTCCCAAGGCAAACATCCTCAAGAAACTGAACCTCCAGGTGTGTTCCGAAGCAAAAGTGGGACACTGATCCCGTTCCTGCAGCGAGCGAGAGACAAACCTCTGCTATTTCCACCACCTGTCAGCAGTGAAACTTTCGGGGCAGCACCAGGGATTGGAAGCGCCAAGAGAAGGAGGATCAGCCCCGGGCTGTCAGGGAATGCCGCTGCCCGCTCCCACTGCAGCTCTTACCTCAGGGGGACCTTGATAGCCAGGTACCTGTCGATGGCCACGGCCAGCAGGCTGAAAATGGAGCTCTGGGTCAGCACCAGCACGAAGCAGGCGAAGAAGAGGCAGCTGTGAAAATCCACCTGGAAGCCGATGCTGATGGTGATGGCGAAGGGGATGGCCAACAACCCCACGGCGATATCGGCCACGGCCAGCGACACCAGGAAATAGTTGGTGGCGTTCTTCAAGGTGCTGTTGATGGCCACGGCCCAGCAGACCAGCACGTTGCCAGCGATGGAGAGCACGGCGATGATGAGCTCCAGCACGATGTAAGTGGTTTTCACAGTGTCCATGGCGAGCGCCCCGCGCCGGGAGCAGGCGAAGCTCATGGGAAGAAGGAACTTTCCTCCGGGCGCCCTCCCGCAGGCACCAGCACGCCCCGGGGCAGCCGAACGCCCATGTCCGGGCTCCCCGCGGCCCTGGGGGGCCGGAGGGGAGCGGCGAGCCCCGGGTGGCGGCCCCCCGCTGCCCGCACCGCCCGGCCCCCGCCCGGCATCCGCGGCTCCGCTCAGCGCCCGCCCGCAGCCGCCGCCACCCGCGGGGCCATCGGGGCTGCTCCGCCCGGGATGCTCCCTCCGCCCGGGATGCTCCGCCGCTGCCGCCCGCGGAAAAGCCGCTGCCGGGGCGGCGGGGCTATTTCTGCTCGGGGCGAGCGGGGCGGGGAGTGCGCGGCGCGGAGCCATTGGCCGGGACCCGGCGGCACCGGCACCGCGCCCCCGCAGCGCCCGGCCCCGCTCCCGCACCCCCGACTCCGGCACGGCTGCCCCGACCCCGCTCCTGAACCCCCCGGCTTCGCTCGCACTCCCAACTCTGCTCCCCCTCTCCCGCACCCCCGGCCCCGGCGTGAAGCTCCCCCGAGGTTTTGGGCACCGCTTTGCACAATTCGGAATAAAAAGTTGCCCTCAAAAAGTTGCCCTCGCTGTCCCCAAAGTCGAGGACTCCGGGTGCTGCTGCTGCTGCTCCGGGACAGCGGAGTTGCAGCACCGAAAATAAAATTGGCCACCAGCAGAGCGCTGACCCAAAGTAGGAGATTTCACAAAATCCTGGCAGCCCTCGGTCTCTGTATGGTTGTGGCACAGCGGGGCATTTCCTGATGTAAGAAATGGCAAAATAGCACGGATTAGCAAATGCTGTTACTCACAGGGCTGAAGTGGTTGAGTTTCAGTCTAAGGAGCTTGAAAAAAGTTCTACCTGAAGGGGTTGTATACTCCGGTGGATCTTAAACCAGCAGGGGAGGTGAAGGTAATTTAATAACTGGTTACCTTTTCATTGCAGGTTTCATGCTTTATATTGTGTTCACCATCAAAACACAGAACAGGGATGGAACTTCACATCACTGCTGAGGCATCCAGCAGCACTGAATAGCTCAGGGTAGAAAGTGGAAAAAAATTCAAACAATTAAAGAAAATAAACCTTCCTGTAGCAAACAGAAAGTAAAAGATATTGACATGGATTTCCTTTTTTTTTTTTTTTTTTTTAAACAAAGTTGTAAACTAAATCCTGTGGAAGGGAATGCTTCCTGAGGATCCAGAGTTAAATCAGAGCAAAAAACATATGGGAAAAATAGATTGAAACTATTCCTTTGGGTGTAGTGCAAATGGAAACACTCCTGTTGACCAGCAACACTTTGGGTCAGACAGATACAAAGGGGGACTCTTAATTTATATTGAACAAAGTCATTTTTATCAAGTTGGACATCTCAGGATGCTGAAAGAAAGCTGAGCCAGGGTACATTTAATTTGATGGGGACACACAGAGGGATCTGCACACAGGAGCATTGCTGCCCCTTGCACTCCCACCTGGACCTTTGCACTTTGCATTCAGGCACTCTGCTGTCACAGGAAAGAACCAAACCACGATGGCATTAACAGGGAAGCCCCAAAATCCCGTGACTCAAACCTCAGTTTTTGCCTGATGTGCCCTGAAAGGAGCAGCAGAGTTTGAGGTGAGCTCAAGGTTCACAGCCCCAGCTCTGGCTGCTCCATCAGAGCTGGCTGGATCCTGAACTTGCCCACACTGGTTTGGTTTATTTATTATTTTGGGATGAGTGCAGCTTCCCTCGTTCAGAGCCTGTTATAACCATGTGAACTATCACAGAGAAGAACTTTTCCCCCCAGAGGGATGGATTTACATGAGGGTTTTTACACGCATTGTTTTCCTAGTGCAGGAACATGTGCCAACAGCCACCTTCTGCTGCTTTACAGCACCTCAGCAAAACCAGAATTAACTTTCTGCACTGGACACATTTTATTAGAGAAAGATCTGCTTTTGTGATCATGGAAGCACTTATTACAGACTGAGCCCAGGGAAATTGTGGTTTGTCAAGTCAGACATGAACAGAAAAACCATTATTTCAGGTTCTGATGAATAGGTTGTTTGGGCAAGGTCTCTGTGAGACAGGTAGTGAGGCAGTGAAAATTGTGGATTTTGCCTTACAGGGAGATTCATGGCTCTCCAAAGCAGCAGAAGCTGTGCCAAGGTCCGGTGGTTTATTCTGGCAGGAACTGGTGCAACTGAGCTGACTCCCAATACAACTCCTGCAAGGGGAGCCAAGGACAAGTGTGCTCAGCTCTGTTCTACCAAACCTGGGTAAATCCTGCTGGGAGGAAAACCAGGATGAGCCCATTCCCAGATCCTGCCCTCCAGCTGTGCTTTTTGAGCCCCCTTTAAATACCTGGCACCACAAACCCTCCATGAAACACCAACTGAACTCTGCTGCCCTTGGAGAACGAGCTGAGCACTGAGAATCCCTGCAGCTCCCGGGGGATCCACAGGTGAGAGGCTGCAAATTCATCTTCTGGAATCTGTAAAGGAGCAAGGAAACCACAGAACCATCGAGGCAAACACAGCTCGGAGCCGGCAGCTGATGGGTGATGAATCCATTCAAGAACTGGAGCGCAGCAGCACCACGGCAGCCCCGGAGCCCCGCTGGATGCTCAGATGTCAGACGCAGATGAATCACCACTACTATTATTTTCCTGGATTCCACTTCCCTCCAGGGATTCACCTCCCAAGCCTCACGTAGGGAACGGCAGCAGCCCCGATCTGCTGCTTTCAAGCGCAAGAGGTGTCCGGGCTCCTTTGTTCGAGGGAAGGCGATTGAAAGGGATCGCACGTTGTGCTGGAGCTGCGCTGGGAGAAGCGAGCGGCGCCCTGGGGCCGCTGTCCCGGCCTCGGCAGGAGCCCTCCAGCCTCGTACGTGCTGTTCCCTCTGTCGCTGCCGTCCCCGGGGAGCGGAGCTGCCGCTTCGCAGGCCGAGCTCTTCCTGCAGCCCCTGTGATCTCTCCTGAGCAGGCTCCGAGGGCTTCCCGAGCGAGCGGTGCCTTCGCACCTCCAGCGCTCTTGGCCCGGGCACAAAGAGCTGGGGAGGAGCCCCAGTAACACATCCCTGCACACACACCCGGCCCGGGGACACGGCTCTGAGCACCAAAAATCACCCGAGCCAGGGACAGCTGAGATGTTCTTGCTGGTCCCGCAGCCAGATCTGCCAGCTCAGACACTCCTCAGCAGCCCCGACAACAGATTTTCCTCTCTAAGTCCACAGAGTTAAAGAACAAACACTGAAGTGGGAGAATCTCTGCTGCAAAGGGACACAGATATTGTCTGGCTATCAAAAATAAAGGTGGATGCCATATAAGAAGTCCATCTGTCTTGCTGACTTAGGCACATCATCACAGTGGCTTTGGCAGCCCTGCACCGACCTGTGAGCGCTGCAGCCGTGGGCAGAGTTGGCTCTGGGGTGTGCAGGGCATCAAACCCAGCGCTGGTGGCTTTGCAAGCAGAGGAGCTGCCACCCATCCCTTCCCGTGGAGGGCAGCTCCACCCAAAACTGCCGCGACACGGGGGAATGGAGAGACAGAGACACTGCCACCAGCCTGGCACTGCCACCCAAACCCATCCCCATCCCCACTCAAGCCTCCACTGGTTCTTCTGAGCTGTTTTCCTGGACAAGACACAGCCTGTCCTGAGCCTGACTCCAAGAAAGGATTCCCAAGGCACAACGCAACCCCTAAACCGCAGAGCAGGTACCAAAACCGCCTTTGAAATGGAGCTGCCAGCGTCAGGCTGAACTGCCCGGTCTGCCCGAGCCAGCTGAAAGGAATGGATGGGTTTGGATAACTTGCAGGCACCTCTGCATGTTTATTGCCCACATTGTGTTGAGCATTAGCACATCAAAGGCTCCTGATGAGCCCTGAATTAAATGATGAGGAGAGGAATGGCCCAAGGTGAGGTTGGTAACTGTAGGGCTCCAGGCATTTTACTGGAAGAGATGGAAAACAAAGAGTGAAATTCCAGGGAAAGCTATTTCCATACTGGAGATTTCAATCGTTCGGCAAAAGCCTTGGAAAACCAAACAGAAAAACTTGGTTAAGATCGTAAACTGTGGATGAACAAACTTGGATTTTCCTAGTCCCCAGGGTCATTGCCAGATCATAAATATGTATTATCCTGGAATCTCAAACCGGTGCTTTAAATTATCTGCAAGAACTCATCTCACAACAATGCAGGTGTGTGAATTCTTTAGAAATTGTTTCATTAGAAAACAAAGAAGTCACCACAGGACTGAAAAAAAAAAATAAACCATAAACGGCTCCACCAAAGGGGTTGAATTAAAAAGGAAGGATTTTGGCTGAATGGAGTCCAAAGTATGAGAACATAATTTTGAAAAAACTTTTCATTTTTTTTTCTCTGTGTTTGGTTTTGTGTACTAACCAGCTTCTGGGGTGGAAAGCCAAGTGCCTGTTCCAGCAGGATTTGTGAAGCAAAGCTGCTGCTCGATGCCCACGGTGCTGAGCCCTGCACGGGGCTCCCGGTGGGTACCGGGCCCAGTGTCCCCTTTATGCTGGGGGAGCTGGTACAGCCAATCTCCCCGAGAAATCCATGGGAAGCGTTGTGTTCCCAGGCCAACATCAGCTCCGGAGAAGCTGGACAGGCACTGATGCCCTTTGCAATTCAAACAACCTGTGATTGCCTCATTCAGAGCTGAGCTGCTTCCTGGGCAGAACCTTCACGAGTTCCTGTGCCCAGAGCTTGCTGAGTGTCCTCTTCACTCCCAATCAACACTGCACAGCAAAAGGAGAAGTGGTTCTGCTCCCTGACATCAGGGAAATGAGTCCTCAGCCCCAGCCTTTAAAGCAATTCAGGTTCACGTACAGATGTGGCATTTGGAGCTCCAAATGAATGCAGTGAAAGGTCTTGAACGGGTGCAACACAACAGCTCTGAATATGGAATTATGCTCAAATACTAGAGAAAAGCAAGATTTAGTTCAAATCCCTCAGCTGGCTTTCTCTGCAATATGAGCTCATGATTTATAAGTGTCTGTTATTATTATTATTGAGATTATCTGTGGCTGTCAGAGGACTTAGAAACCTCTGGTGTTCCATGTCCCAGCCAGAGCTCTGACAACCACTTCTGATCCCCAAAAATCAGGCTCCTTTCACAGGCAGGGCCAGGCAGGTCACCCAGGGGTTAAAGAGCAGCTTAGCTGTGAAGGGAAGATGCAGAATACACACAGAAATACAAATGAGCAAATGCAGGGGCAGGACCAACCTTCCTGTGCACAGGCAGCTGAATCTGCACCCAAAGCCTGCCTGAACCCCAAGGTCGGTATTGCACAGCCCCTGCTGGATTGCTCCATCAGAAATGAGGGTTTTGTTCCATCCACGCTCCAGCCACTGGCAAAAGGAAACCTGGTGCTGTTGAAGCCCAAGAACTTGGTTAATGTGGATTCCATCCTTGCAGGACTCCATCAGAAACCCTCTGAAAGCAATGCCCAGTCACAGCTGAAAGGGAGAACTGCCCAGCACTATCCCATGGCACATTATTTATTATTAACATTATTAACCCCTCTGCAAGCCTCAGACAGAACTCTCCCTTCCCAGAAGGGCTCTCCAGGGCTGAGCTGTGCAGAGATTATTATTTATGAATAAATTATTTTTATTCAGACACATCCAGGTTGCCTGGGCTGAACACTTTCATTCATGGCTTTCACTGGACCTGCCTTGGTTGTAGCTCAAATTTGGGTAAGGAAAATAACAAACGTTCTCTAACTGAAAAAAACCCGAGTCATGGTTGCAGCCTCACTTCCCAGGAATTTCATCCTGTCGGGAGAATGTTGGGAATGTCCTGAGGAATCGCTCACCTGGGGAGCTCCTTTGTCTCCATGATTAGAGCCTGGGAGTGGCTTCCTGTGAGACAAAGGATGAGCTGACCGAGGAGGCAAAAGTTGCAGCACATCAAGGTGGAACAAAGGTTTGAACTGCTATAAATTCTTTTTTTTTAAGCCGAGAGAAGTTTTAACTGGAGCTTTGCACAGAAAGTGTGCAGCTGTGTGGAGCAGGTTAAGAAAGGCATTTGCTCCCACGTTAATTCTCTTAATCTTGTTACTTTCTCTTTAACCAGCTTAAACTCTTGCTGAGGGTCTGAGGATGAATCCTCAGTCACTGCTGTGTATTTAAGAGGGGAAAGCAGCTCACTTTCTGGATGTGTGAATAATATTTACCCACGCTGACATTTTACAGCCTCATTTTCTTCCTGTTAAGCTCAATAAAACCAGTGACTCCCCCAGCACCTGACTCTTCTGGGTGACATTTACTCCAGAGCCCTCCAGTATTAAACTGGATAATTCTGTGAGGCTTCAACCACCTGCTTCTGACCTTTGCAGCCCATCTGGAAGACTCTTTATTCTACTCACATTTCTTATGCTTCTCTTCCATCTGCTCTGGCTTCCATCTTTCACCAGTCAGGAAGGGAATTTTTCTTTCCACACCAATCCATGTTCTCCAAGCACCAGGAGTCACTGAAAGCACACTGAGCAGCCCTGGATCTTGTCCTCCCACCCCACCTACAACCACCCACAAATCCCCCCAGGAAATTATTGGCTTTAGATTTCAGTCTCTTGTTGAACCAAACTTGTCCATGGCTGTCCCTCACTGGCCATGCCCACAGAGAATCCAGCTTGCCCCACAAATGACTCAAAGCACCAGGAGTGTACTCTGAAAAGAGACAGCAGAGCCTGGGAGCATCACTTAAGGCCCAGCAATAAAAATCCAGGGCTGAAACACAATACTTAGGTGGGGAAAAGCAAAGTAGCTTGGGTTATGTAAATGACAACTTTTCCCACAGGGTTTCACCTGCCCAGTGGACACAAACACACCTGAGAGGCCTGAAGAGCTTTAAATGCCCATTTCTTTTATCATCTCACTTTTCTTTGCTTACTTGGCAGCTGGATTGTTCTGGTACTGCTGTCACCACCTTGGTGAGACAAAAGCAGCCTCTGTGAAATTGTTCTGGAATTTGATCTCAGCACCTCTGAAAGCTCTGTGGGTGGAGGGGGTGGTGGCTGCAGAAGACTCCAAGAGATGTTTCTGGCACTGTGCACACACTGCTCACCCTCTGCAATGTTCTGGCACTGCCTCCCAGGTGCTTCTAACTCTGGGATCTGTCATCTCACCTTCTAGACTGCCTCCAAACTGGCCTTGAACACTTCCAGGGATACTTTGGATTTTGTATTGTATGTAGGTAACTGAAACATTTCAACAAACCTCAGAAACAGAAAAAGATTTATTAGAAATATTACACAGATTTTGCATCATACATTTTAATAATGTTAATATTTAAATATTAGCATGTCCAAATCTGCAATGCTTAGTATGTACATTCTAATGTGCTCTTTGTATAAATTAGATTACGATGGAACAGCTGTACCCAACAGGGAAAGCTAAAACTGTCAGAAGTGATCATCCCATATGACAAACTCAAGCCTGGACCAACAGTCACTAAAAACATTGTGTCCAGCACTGCCCAGTGGGACTTGGCACACATGCAAGTCAAAAATGGAGAGACTACCAGTTGAGAAAATAAAGTTACTTGCAGTTCAGTGAGAAGCTGCTTCTGCACCGTGTCGGTGAGCGAGCGTCGATGGCACTACAGTTGGTACAAACCAACACAGCTGAGCATAGTAGAACTTATTGCTGGGTTTAAAAATGTCTTAATGCTCCATGCCCTGAGTCTTTTTAGGCAAAAAGCCCTCTTGTGACAGGAAAATGCATAATCTCATCCCATACAGCCCCTGCCTGTGATCAGATGCACAAGGCTCAGCTTTGCCAAGAGCTGGCCCGGTCAGATCCTTGCTGCTGGTACCCCCAGCACAGCAGGATGAGGGAGGTATGAACAAACCAACAAGCCCAGGCTTGTGTGGTCACTGCCAAGGAAGGGGGAAAGTCAGGGAAGCCAAAAGGTGGATTTTTGAAGAGTTCCAGGTCAGGAATCAAACTGGGAAGAACCAGTCATTCTGCCTGCGTGCACTTGGTTCGGACAGAAAACTTGCACAGAACTGGTTGCACGTACAAAACAAGAGAGAAAACCTGTCAAAACCAACTTCCAATCACAGAAAGAAAACTGCCAGACCTCAAAGGGACCCTGCATAAGCCCCAAATCCCTCTTGCTTAGCACAGCTGCTCTGCTGCAGAGCAGGAAGAACAGAAGTCTTTGTCCCCTTTGTGTTACCAGGACTGGCAGGGGAAGGGGAGCCTGGCAAGGGCAGCCAGCTGTGCTGTGTCCTCTCCTCACCTGCTGAGACGCCCTGGCTGCACTCTTAGGAGGAATGCCCCTCAAGCTGACAGCCCACACAGACCCTCTGATGTCCTTTGTGACAAAGAGCCCCAGGTGTGTCTGTGCCCTGTCCCTCTCCTCACACTCTGGGCTCTCCCTCAGCCCCACCAGGAACTTTCAGGAAAAGCTCCTCAGCCCTTCTAGAAAAGCTCCTCACAGGGCTGACTCTGGGCTCACTCCTCACACCTCTGTACCTTCCCAAGCCATGAAACAATTTGTACCTTCTCTGTCTCACCTGAAATCCCAGGAGCAGGACTGCAGCTCCCACACTCCAATCTCCTTTCCTCTCCTACACTACAGTACAACACACTGCCACATCCCTCCCTGGAATGTCACTGGCACCCCCTTCCTAGCCCTTCTGCTCACCTGCTCATCCCAAATCAGCTGTGCTCATCCCAAATCAGCTGTTTGCTCCCCTGCAGCCCCACAGACTCCCCAGGTGGTGCCTGTGAGTGACAATTCAAGGAGCAAGGGACAAGACAAGATTTATCTGCCTGCACACCAGGGAAAGAGCCATTACTCCTAAGAGGCAAAGTCAGAAAGGATTTAGGAGGTTCAGACAAACCTCCTGCTCAACACCATCCCTGTCACATCATCACATTCAGGACATTTTCAGAGAATTCTCAGAACTTCTATAAAGACTACCCACATGCTCTCTTGCTTAACTTAATTAAATTCCCTAACTTTAAAGGCAGCTGGAACTTAAATTTTGCAGCTTCAATCTGAGATGTCTCACAAGGGCCTGAAGGGTCTCTGAAAACCAGGCCTGCAGCATCTCATATAGGATAAATTTAAATTAATATTGAAATTTTAAGGCAGCGTGAAAAAACAAGAGCAACTTGTGAAAATCAAAGTCTAGAAATGTAACTGTGCAATGTTTAAAAGGAAGAAACCCCCCCAATATTGTAACAGTTAAATGAACAAATAAACAATATTCTTAATTAAAAAAAATAATCTGGAAAACCTTCTCTCAAGGTATCACAATAAGATGTTTTGCAGGTTTGAGGACAGAACAGTAACATTGAAGAAAAGATAAAATCAAGTATCTTCTTCCCTACTACAATTCTGTGTTGTAATTCCTACCTAAGTAAAAAAATTAGGAATACACCACTAGAATTGGGCAGAATTAGTGTTTGGACTATGCTGCTGGGAGGAGCATAGGAGAGGAAGCAGCAAAGAGATGACAGAAACATTGCTTTGCACAAATCATTTGGGAAAAAAAAAAAAAAGAAAAGAAAAAGCAGCTGGATCCCACAGAATGGTCTGCAAGGGTAAAGTGAGCCTTGAGAGCCAGAGCAGTGTCAGAAGAGCCCTGGGAGCAGAGGATGCTCACACAGGAGGTGACATACACCCCATGGACACTGAGCCACACTGCAAACCCTTCCAGTGACCACAGGGTTAAAATTCCCTTTTTTTACATCATTTACTCTGACTTTGAGATGTTTACCACACACTGGGAATTAAAAGTGTTTTTCTCATCCCTGCAAGTGCCCAATCCAAAGCCCACTGAGGAATATGGAATTTTCTGTGCTGACTTCACTCCAGCTTTGAACTCCAGCCCGTTGGAGAGAATTGGGATCCCTGCCAGGGCACACCTCCAGGGAAAAGAGCTGCTGCATCCACAGGCAGTGGGGCCCTGCAGTGCAAGTGCCTCAAGTTTTCCTCTTCCATCTCATCCTGCATTTTAGAGCAACTCATCTTGGGTTCTCCATGGACACGAGGGCGTGCTGAGAAGTTCCAGAGTGAATTCCACCTAGAAAGGGCTCCCCTGCAAGGAGCTGCCTTGGCAGCACTCAGCTGCTTGCTCACAGGGCAGGATGGCAGCCAGCATCAGGGGCACTGCCTGTGCTCTCCCCTGGCCATTTTTACCACACAGCCTCTCCAAAGACTGCAACTGGACTTTCCCAGAGGCAATGGATTAGAATTAATTTCAGACTAAAACCAAGAGCAAGAGATGATTTTGTCCTCCCCCAGAACAGGCACTGCCTTCCTCCAGCATCCTCTTTGTTCAAAGCACTCCCTGGCTCTGGGCTCTTCCATCTATTCCTGAATCCTTTATTCTGCTGTGAGAACACCAAGTCTGAAATACATTGTTTATTAATTAAATAGCATTACAAAGTAAAATCAAATCAAACAACAAAGCACTATGGGGAACCAGAGGCTGAGATCAGCCACCTGCAAAGCCCTTGAAAGCCTGAAACCAATTTTGTTCTGTGAAATCTCTTGTTTCCATTTCATGAGCCTTTTTCCAGGAGGCAGGAGTAGTGAGCACTATATTTTTTGCAAGAGAGAAATGATGCCTAGCTCCCTAGGACTAATGTCCACAAAGCATCAGGGTTAAGCACAGTAACTAAACACCAACTTTCTCCTACCAGCGTGCCCTGAAGCAGCCAGGCAGCCTTTACATGCTCCTAGAACAAATCCAGCAGCCTGTTGGATGCTTCCATCCTTGCAGACAAACACAAAAATTAATTTCATCAGGTGAAATGAGAGACACAGAATAATGGACACTTCACAGTGTCTATCAGGCATTTTCCTAACAGTGTTTCTGAGGTGGGAAGCTGCTCCCTGGCGCCTGATCTCCCTGGCACAGACGGGTTCCAGTTACATTGTTTGTCATCTGTGGAGTGAAGTGCACCTTCCATTGGTGCTGATGTATGACTGTGTTCCTTCACAGCATGACATCACTTCCAAGCATGTCCCAGTGCCCCGTGGGCTGTATTTCATGGCACAGGGCACAGGCTGTCTCCAGATTCCTGCCTCCAGGCAGCAATGACACAGCTGTGCTGACCAGACAGGAGCAACACAGAGGGAAGAAGTTACTCCACTCAATCCACAAAAAATATGAGATGTCACTGTATTGCTCACCTGATTACTGGCACCTTTCAAGCTAAAGCTGTTAAATTGCATTTGCAATGTTCCTGTGATAACTGTGCCTGCACAGTCAGCCAGGAAACCAAGCTCTGGCTTCCCGGAGTAATCAAGTAATGAAGTTGGAGTAATAAACCTATTTTTCCTCAAAGACATTATTTCTGTTTGAGATGAAATGAAGTCCCAGCACCTAACAGGACCTTTCAGACTTATTTCACTAGCTGGTGATGAACAGAGGGTGGTTTCTGAGTTACAAATGATCCTGTTACCATCCTGCTGGTTATGCTATGAGTAAATTAGTGCAGTTATTGGGTGAGATGTGCGAGAGTAACTCAGGTTAAGGTTCTACAACTTAAGTGCATCTGTCAAGGTGTTTCATAAAATACATGGAGGCAAGAAAACAACATGTACTTGGGATGAATTAAGCATCTTTTGGCAAGAAGAGCATTTTTGTGAGCTTTTGCATGAACATTAATCTCCCAGCCTCCCTTGAGTGCCAGCATAGTCCACATTGACTTAAAACTTCACTGTGTAGCAGGTCTCCTGTCAAGGCCAATGTTGTTAGCCCAAGGGATCCTTTTCAGAAATATCCCATGTGTGCTTGAGAACGCTTTGCAATTTCCATGTGGGAGCAAACTTACCAATGGATTTGGTTTGCAAAGGTGGACAACAGGGAATTATTTGGTTGCAGTCCCAGATGGAATCAAACCTACGGAAGAGCCTCCTTTCACACTAAGAGCTTCAGTTGGTTGTGGAAGAGGAGCAAGCAGGTTTTTAAAGTGATCGAGTGCATCTGTAGCATTCTTTGTTCTCTTCCCCACTCGTGTCCACCTCTTGCTCTGCAGCTCAGGTCTCAAAGTATTTGTAGATCTGGGCCACGTACTGCATGACGCTCTGCCAGTCGGGCCGGTCCGTGTACAGCATCTCGCTGAGCTCCTGCCAGACACAGCACCACGCTCAGGCAGCCCCACACGGCTCCCCTGAGCCCCTCAGCACCTCTGCTCCCACTCCTGAGCCCCTCACAGCCATCAGGACCACTGGGATGATCCAAGTGCAATTCTGAAATCTCTTCATGCATTCTACCTAAAATATTTCTTCCATCTGCAATCAAAGATCAGTTCTCTATACAACTTCATTTAAGCTGATGCTCCTTTGCTTCTGAATCTAGCTCATGAACCCCGTAACAGTTTTCCCTTCATATTAAACTTATATCTCCCTTGTCATATAGTTAATTTTGGAAAAGTTTTTTTGAACAGTTTAACGTCTTTCTGTTTCTTAAAGCACTAAAACAACAGGAAACAAAATGGTGCAACCATTAATGTAATGGTGTGATATGGCAAGTCTGTCCATAAAATTATGAATAATCGGCAGCTGGCATCCAAAAGAAAGACATCATCCATACCATTATCTCAATACTGGATGACCTTCAGCAGCTCCTCCAAATTATATTTATTCTGTGATTCTACAAATTCTTTCTGGAAGTTCTCCTAACAGCATCCTGATGGTGGTGCAGCCCGCCCCAGCCCTGTGTGACACTCTGAGTGCAAGGTCACTGACTGGCCACGTGGCAACAAGGAAAGGTGTTGGAATGGTGTTTGCAGCAAATGTCCCCTTGCTCAAAGGTTACTCACCAGACTGGGTTTGATGCCCACACTTTCAGCAGCTTGAAATGCCAACAGCAGATTTCTCTTCTGTAAAAATAAAGTTCAAAAGGATTAACATCAAAGCACTGCTCCTGAACCTTTCCTTGCATCTGGTTACCCAGTAAGTTTAAATGAGCAGGTGTATTTGAAAACTAAACCCCTGGACTCCATACTTGCCTGCAGACTCTTTTTTGAGTCTCACCCTTTTTTGATCTTATTCACTCACAAGTTCTTTGCCTTTGAACAGCTCATCTACTTCTGCCTGAGTGACACCCTCTGTTTTTGACATATAGATTGTTGTGAAACTGGTTACAACTGGAAAAAGAGCCACTAAAGTTCTGTCTTTACTATGATACCTGGTTTCTGCAGAGGTTTTAATTAATATAAGACATTTTTGCAGATAATATAATTCTTACTGTGATAGATACTGTCTTTGTGTTTATTTGCAGCACTTGCTGGATTTAGCCAACTTGTCACTGTTTCATCACCCAGCAGTCCCTGCATTTCTCTCTGGGAGTTCACTGTTGGTTTCCTTCCCCTTTTCATCCATTCTGTTCACTGTGAATTCTGCAAATGTACAACACAACTTACTTTGTCCTGGCTGTTGAGCTCCTGGTAAGGAATATGTGCAGGCAAATATGTGTGCAGGAGAGCACAGAAGGCCAGCCCATCACTCCAGCTGCTGCTGAAGTTGGTAATATCAATATTCTGTAAGAGAAAACATGAGTCATCCTTGAACAGTGCTACACAACAACAACAAAAATCTTCAAACAACAGTTTTTATGCAGCCATGGAACAAAAACCCCAGAGCTGAGATAAAAATATCTGTGGTGACATTCCCACCACTGTCACCTCCAAAAGGAGAGAGGTGAAGAAAAAAAATTTGCAAGGAAATAGTCTAATAGAGTTGGGAGTTTATATGGACAAATATAAACTTCCTTCCCTTGTTTCTAGACACTTGGATTGTTCTTTGCCAGCCTCTTACTACAAGGCTGCACTCAGGTGCACAGAGCAAGCCCAGTTTCCCTGTTCATGACAGCTGAGGTCCAGAACCATGGGGGTTGCAGTGACTACAGAAACAGAAAATGGTATTTTAAAGTCAGCCCATCTGCAGAGAACTCCTTCAAACCACAGGATACATCCTGGGGATACAGAGTGCACTGGGGGTTCTTCCCTGGGTGCTCTCACGAGGCACAGCTGCAGTTAAAACAGGCCCATGGCCCAGTTCTGCCCCTGTGAACAAAGTGACCTTTCTGATGCTCCTGTCTGCACTGCCTGGCCACACCAGCACCCTCAGGAATTCCCATGGCCAAGTCCTGCAGCTAAAAACAGAGCACTGAACTGCTACAGAGCAAGAGCTGCTGGAGCAGGGGGCTCTGGGACACGGTGGAGCTGCCCCCTCTCCCACACTCCTGCAGGTGTGGAGTCACCTCCAACCCCCCTCAGCAGCCACATCCTCCTCTGTGCTCAGCTGCAGTTCACACTCCCCACCCCTGCATTCTCTTTAGTTAGCTGTTTTCTGGTTTCTTTCAAGACTCCCCCAAAGACATTTTACTGCATCTCTCATGCAACAGCTGATGCAGACACTAAAACCCAGACAGGAATTATTTCAGCATGTGCTCCTTGCTCCTGATACCTCACTGATTAGTTATCCAACCTGGACCTGGTCCAGTCAGACAGGATTTCCAGTTAGTAATAAATGTCCATAACCAAACATGACTCAAATTGAAGCAGTAGTGAATATCTCAGGTTAAAATACTTTGTAATAAATCTACAACTCTAATGGGCTCAGAAAGCAGCTGACATCCCCACGCTGCCCCAGCCACCACGTTGTAGGGCTCTATTAACATCTGTCAGTGGAGACAATACAAAAATGAGGCACTGCCTGAACACTGTCACAAGAAAAAAAAAATTGCTTTGAAAGCTGCCTTGGCATTGCCTATTCCATAAAGTTGCAACTTTTTAGTTGTAAGTCCAACTTTGTGTGTATGGAATTGGCTGAGCTAGATTATTCTGCTTTCTTGAAGTTTCAGACAAACAAGTTCCTTTCTATTTATCAATCTGCAGTTAGTGGGAAAGGAGTGACTGCCAAGTTACAGAAGTGTTTTTACTGAGGCCAATATGTTTTATCAGCAAATAGCTTATCAGCAAATGCCAATATTCTCATTTTATACTGTAGGATGGAAATGGAAAATGGAGGTTGTTCCTCCTCTTTCCCAAAGGCCGTGGAAACAGGAACAAACAGAGCCTTAGTTATGCAACAGGACCAGACAAAAAGGGAAAGCTTGTTTGTGTAGGAACGTTGTATCCATCCTCGTTTTCATGATGCTACTATGTGAGATACAAAACTGCTCCTTCACACTGTATTTCACTATCCCAAAATCAGTTTAATAATTTTACTTACCTTTGCAATTTTAAACACACCTAAAGCTCTTCTCCTTTTCCCAAATCACAATATCTACACATAAGAAGTGCTCATGTCTACCAAAACTAGGTTCAATAATCCTCACTTCCCCAACAGCATTGTCCAGCCAGTCATGCTCAGTAACTTTTGGATCTAAGTCTTACAAACAAGTAAAAGTTCAAGGATGGGATTCTGCTGACCATGTTTGAACCACAGATGAAATCTGCTGCAAAGTGGTTTGCCACAGTCAATGGCCAAAACGAACTCAATTCTGAATTTTTGTCCTAAATGCAACCCCAAAATGAACATTCAAAGGTTCAGCTCAACAGTTCAGTTCACAATACAATAAAAAATACTCAAGGCCACCTAGTTCCATTTTTACACCTAACAACAATCAATGAATTTTGGTTTCTTTTCTCTAAACAAATGCATTTCCATTTCATACACAGTACAAACTCCTCTCCTTGGCACTTCATCTTGGCTTCTGTGTTAGATACTTTTCAGTTTGGGATATAAGGACATGGTAAATGAAAAGTGATCTGTGTTTTGCTACACTGCAGCTTTATTTGTAGTACCTCCCCACTCCACCACCCCAAGAGGAATTAAGTCAAAATAGAGACAACTCTGATTTCTCGGAAGATCTCTGGCTGCCCTGAAGCCATTAAAAAAATAAAAAAAAAGGAAAACAATTTAGGGAATGAACACCTCGGAAACTATTCCCTTCTCTTGATTATTTTGGCAGCAGAGCCTGTCTCAGTCTTGCTGCCACACCTCTCTCCCTATTCAGTCCCTGAATATATGGGAGCTATTTGTGTCCATGCTGGTTGTTAATGCACAACGCCAAGCTGCATTTCTATGTCCCGTTTCTAGGTTCTGCTCACAGCAGAACCCTCATCCCAAGCTCTGAAAAACTGCATGTGGCTTCTCATGAGACACCCAGAAAGGATGGCAACACTCTGAGCCATCAGAATGAGTGCAGGGAGAAATGGGAAAATGGAGCAGGGATTCAGATCAAACTGAGCTGCAGCATTTATCAAGAAAGGAGGAAAAATTTGCTGTCAAATGGTCACAGCACATCCTGTGGTCAGTGGCAGCCCAGGCTCTGTCCTCAGCACTCCTGCAGGGTCACCAATCAGTAGAAACACTAAATTCTCTTCAAGCTCACAAGTGAACTCCTCTACATCACTGGGATTGTTCAGACACTGGGATCTGGAGGCACACCAGAGGGCACAGCTATCAAAGTACCAAAGTGCCCAGAAGGACCTATTTTTACGAACATTAAAGCAAAGTTTGAAAAAAGAGAAATATCCAGGCAATGCTATTTGGATAACAAATGTACAATCTAGGATATCAGTGTCAGGTTAAGCCTAAAAGACACAAACCACCTGGAAGTGATTGACCTTAGCCCCCCATTCCAGGAACAGGACCTTTCCTGCAGATAACAGAGCCCTGCTAAAGACACCCAGGGAAATCTGTGTGATCTGTTCTCACTAAAAACAATTCTTTGTTTGTCTGAGGAAAAAACCACCACCCCATTAGATTTCACTCGATCTTTGACTCCAAGCAAAAAGCAACAATGACATCATGCACTCCTCAGTACAGTCTGAGTAGGTTAAAATCCTGATACCAGATATTCCCACTATGCACGTGTTACTGTGCCCACAGCAATGGCTCTGAGTCATAATTTTCTCCCTGAGAGCCAGAATTATCAATTACAGACATGAATCAGCTTGAAGCTAGCCTGGAATCTGAGGAAGAAGGCCTGCAAGAAATACAAGCTGAGCATCATTATTCCATCCAGCATCCCTTCCTGCCTCTCCCAAGTTATTGGGATGGAATGGCACACAAGGAACCTGCCAGAGTGGCTGATCATGGAGGTTCAGCCCATGCAGGATATAAAATTAAATACCTGAAAATAAATCTACTGAGTAAATAGATTCAATTTATTGAATCTATTCAATTGCCTTGTTTTTAATAGCAGCTTCCCTCAAGTGGCTCATCACTACCCAGGCCCCCACAGCTCCTCCTGAACAGCTCATTGTTTTTATTGGATATATTTAAACACAGGTCTGAACAGAAGCCACAGCTCTGCACATCTGAACTCTGACCTTTCTAAAGCAAAATGGATCAAGGTACTCAACAGGCAACTTCCAAAGAGGACTCAAACCTACCCATGTTTAACAACAGCTGCACAAAACTGCAGCTCTAATTTGATTTATTACACCCTAACTGGCTGGGCCAGGTTAACAGGGTTCAGCCAAAGAGGTTTTATTCAGAGCAATCTTCAGGCTCTCACTGGGCAAGTTTTGAACAGTTCCTAAGAAGCAACATGAAGAAAGGATGGACCCTTTCAGCCTTCCAAACAAACAAAACACTCCAGTTCATCTGAAATGCTCCAGCAAAGATATGAAACATCTGGGCAATCTACTGGAACTATGGGTGAATGAGAAGTGTGGTCAGGTCCAGTTAACAGGGATGAAAGGCACGAATGCCTGAAATTAAAGGCTGCCTGGATTCTTCTGTAATTGCAGGGTACACCCAGATGACAAGTGCACACAGCTATTTTCAATGGGGAGCTGCAAGTCTGAAGTGATTTGTACATCACATTTAGTCCATCTACTACCAGGAAGCTTTCTCAATGCTCTCACCAATCTTTTTCTCTTAAATGGAATCCAAAATGAAGTAATGCCTTGTGATTAAAAGAAATCAAACCAGCAATGTATTGCACAGAGATTAAGTGGGTAGCCAGGGCTGGGAAGGAAGCCAGGTGACCTCCTATCCTCCAGCCTGTATTAATATCCCTGCTTCAAATGGCCCAGCCAACTGCAGTCTCCATAAGAAATGCTTTAAATTTCTTTAAAATGTTGTGTTTTTATCTCATAATCCATATTTCTAATGCTTCTCTCAGCATGTCAGTTAGCCATGTATCTTATTGCTGATTACATATGCATGGAAGAGCAGAGCTCAGATCACAAAATGCTCTCTGAAAATACAGTTAAATCATGTCATAGCAGCACTATGAACTGAAAAGGAACTGATGCCAGCTCTTTAAAAGTCATGCCATTTACTGCATTTCTTTTTATAAAGAATCCCTGCTTCCCATCACATTTTTAGGTTCTGTTTGCTCCTTTCTCCACTGCTGCCACAGGTGCTGCTTTGGGTTTACCATTCATCATTTTCTTCAGTAAGTGTGAATTAATGAGCCCTTTAGCAAAGACAAGATATTAGAGGATCTATGGCTGCATTTTTTTTTTTTTTGCAAAAGCATCAAACACCAATTTGCTATAGAATTCACATAGAGAAG